TAGTTTCTCAGGGCAGATAGAAGAGTGATTTTTTATATATATATATGTATGTATGTATATATATACACACTTAAAGTGAAGTAGCAATCCAGCCTAATTTCAACATTATAATGAATGACAGATACCGAGGGACTCCTGTCCTGTCTGTAGGAAACAGAGTGTGTAGTTTGCAGATCGACATGGAGAACGGAGAACCAAAACTGGGAATACAGGAAAAAATATTAACTACTTTCAAAACCGTTGTAAGATCCCTCACAACTTCTGTGTCATTTGAACTCTCTGAAGACTCTGCTGTGACTTTCTTTACATGGGATTCAAGTATATGCCCTCTGCCAGGTTTTGACAGCTACCTTGTCCTTGGGACTGAGTTCCACCTTCCTCTCAGGCCGGATTGCTATCTTGTGTCGATCTTCCAGTTCCTTGCAATTTTGCAACATATATCTTGATCTTAACTTCCACCCCTGCCCTCATGTCAAATTTGAAATTTCTCCAGTGGATTCCAAGTTTCCCAGGGCTGTGGGCCTCAGAGCTTTTCCTTCTCTATTCAAGCCAGAAACTCTTCTATTATATATAAAGGTCCTGTGCCTACAGCCTAGTTTTTGGGGGCTTTTTGTGAGAAGACATTCTTTTTGTCAGGATGTAGTAAAAAAGGTACCTCCTTTTAAAACCTTAACTTTTGGTAAGACATTCAATTGTAATGGCCAGGTTATTTTATTAGAAGTTTCACTTGGGTCAGGGAGCTCGGCTCCATTGCCTTCCTCCAGTTTGGTATGTGTTTCTAAGGCTAGACAAAATAGAGTACCTGCATTGCATTTGATTGATTGGAAAGAATGACGTAAGATATACTTCATTTCCTGTACAAAGCTTTGTGCAGTATTACTGTTCACTGTACGTGGACACCTGGTAGATACAGAGGAACTTGATACACCCTGAAATGGCCAACAGCTGAAATATACAGGCTGCATATTTAATACCACAGCAGCAGTTGTTACATTCCAACAAGGATAACACATGGTGGCAGAGGAGTGAAATACCAAATTAAGTTCGTGACCCTGTTCCATTTAACTGTCATTTTCTCTGTTTATTATCCAGCATATTCTGAAATACTCTTCTGTGAGAGCAGTCATAAGAAGTTAATCTGATTTTTTTTCTTCTTTTTAAAGCTACACTGTAATTAAAATACATGCAGAGGCTCTAGGAAAAAGGTTTTTAGAAGGCTTTTTTAAATGTCTAAATTGGCTACAGTATATGTATCATGTGATGCACAGGCTGGCTGTGGGAAGCAAAAGCACGTAAAACCAGAATAACTTGTTGGCACTGGCTGCTCCCATGGGACTGCAAAACTCTGCACATACTTTCTTGTTGGAAATAGCATCATTCCTTTCCACTCTACACAGCCTTAACCTTCAGGTACATTTTTTAGCAATTCTTCTCACCTCTTGGTCAAAAAAATATTTAGTTTTCTGTTTTTTTTAGTGTTTTGATTCTGTTTTTGCAGCAAGAATTTTGGTCAAAATAAATGTTTTGCTGTTGGTCAAATTTTGGTCATTTTACTATACCAAGGTTAGAATTAAATAGCAAAACCCAGAAGCAATATCATATGCATTTTGCAAACATACTGACAATTCAGCACTTTATTGAGGAAGAAAAGGTCTTCCAAATGATGTGTTTTGGCTTTTATCTTTTCCATGTTTCTGCAGCTGAATGTACGCTCACTGTCAGTATGAGTACATAGATTAGACATACTGTGTATTTCCAAAAATGCTTTATTAGCCATATTTTTTTTTCCAAAATTCCTTGATTAACTGTTGCTTCGAAGTGACTTGCAGCCTCACAGCTGACTTCCAAATCCAGTAAGACTGCTCAGGCAATATTTGCCATGCATTAGGCTTGGCTTCAGATGGGGTGCTTTTTCTTTTGAAGGTCTTCCATGTGAATGCTAAAATGAGTGCACGTTGCTTGATTAATTAACATTCTCATAGTACGCTCAGTTGGTAACAATTATGGCAAGTGAGAATTTACTACAATTTAGTGTACCTATTAAGAGAACTGTAGGCAAATGGTACTTGTGAAAGAATGCTTTGTATGCATTGAATATTTTAGTTTAAACTGTTTCCCAGTTAAAATTGATATTCATATATAAATCCCCCTTTTTAAAAACAAGGTGCCAAGTAAAATATTTGATCTTCCAAAAGGACCTTGTGTATATGAATCCAAAAGGTAGGAGGTGTATGTGAAAGAAGTAAGTACTGTACAGGGCCTCTGTTTGAGGTTGTTTTTTTTTATTCTCCTTCTGCACTTGGCCATTTGCTCTCTGGATTTTCCGCTGCCTGATGGTGCTTGCCCAGGCTCTCTGGACTGTCTTTCTCTCAATAAATTCTGTGACTGTCCTGGTCTCTTCTCGCTCCTGCCCTCAGCCAGCTGAGAAGCTGCAGTGCCAGTGTCTGAGGTTGAAGAGTGAAAGCTGTCAGTGTGCTTCTGGTCTTGCATGTCTGGTACAAGCTTCAGTTTTCATCACCTTTTGAAAAGCCAACAAGTGAACAAGCCCTTGTGAATGTGGAGACTGGCCAGTGTGCTGAAGTGGCTGTCTGGGAACAGCTGTATTTTTGGAAGGATTCCTACATTTTAACAATTTACCATACCATTCACCCAGGAAACACCAAAAACCTTTTTGAAACTGTGACTTACTCAGATGGTTATTGAGAAGAAACTATATATCATGGTGACAGCTAGAAAAGAAAAATCAGCTTACCTTATTCATATCTGAAGAGTAGTAGAGTCACTCATAGTGAGTGTCCTACCACTCAGGTTTTTTAATCATATTGTCATGTAATAAGTATATTGTGAAAATTGTTACAACCCTGGTAACAGGTTTATGACTGTTTCTGCCTATTCTGCACATCAGGATTGGTTTGTTCACTGATGCTAACTCTTTCAGTTTACCAACACTGGGGCTTTACACAAATTCATATATTTATATGCCCCTGTATTTATTTCTTTAATGTTTCTGGACTTTATCATTCCTGAAAACAAGAGTAAACCTGTAAAGACCCAGAAAGCAGAAGGCACAAGAAAGAGTAAAAATTCAGTAATTTTTTTTTATCCCTTCACATCTAGGCAATCTCATGATTTTGGAGGTGCATGACTCATGGTCACATACACTCAGAGAGCAAAATGCTGTCAATTCCACTTGATTTCAAGTTGCCTCCCTCCAGGGGAATCATGCTCTCTCACTCTGGGAGTCTGAACATCCAATCTGTGTACCATGTGCAGACTTTAAGCTATAGCTCTTACACACAGTGTATAGAGAGGCAAACACATCCACACAGGATGCCTGGCAGGAAATCCATTGCTTCATTTCTCTATTGTGCTAGTCTTTTAAATGCTGCCTGGGGCCCTCAGTGCTGTCCCTTTCCTCCCAGTCCCATGTCAGTGTTCTCTGTGCCTTGCCCAAAACCCGTTGTCATCTCTGGGCCTTGCGCTCACCAGGTGCTGGTGCAGCACGTGGTATTCCAGTCGCTAAAATGAGAACTGAGTCTCACGCAGCAGTGTTGTTATTAATGGCTTCACAGTCACATTTTCTCTTCCTCTGGGACTGTTGTATCAACATAGTGAGTATCAGAAAGCTCAGCTGTTGATTTGACCACAGAATTTAACATGGTTCACTGCCTGCCTCTTTTACTTCTTTATAATGAGAAGTTTAAAAATACTCAGTGACTCAAGTATTCATTGTCAGTTTACATGAGATTGCATACACTCAACTGCAAGTGATGTTGAATGTACTGTAGACTGTTACCTTGTGGAAAAAAAAGGTGTTTTTTTTCCAAATACTACCTTTCTTTCTTTTTTTTAGCCTTTTAATGTAAATATAGCTGAGACATAGGGTATGTTGTAATAGTCATTTGCCACAGCATGGAGGAAGGTGTACCGGCTTCCATAGCTTCTGTGTGAGGGAAAAGTCAGCATCACAGCAGCAAGCGTTAGGCTGCTTGTACTTTTGTAGGAGTCTCCTGAGAGTTTACTAACTACTGCTTTAAATTGTCACTGGAAGTTTATACTTCCACCACAGTTGTAAGGAAAACCTCTGCATGATAAAATATTTGGGGAAAAACACATCCAGAATTCTACATGTCTAATATTTATTCACTTCAATACAAAAATACCATGTTAAACACACACATACTGTGTGCTTGGTTGTTGAAATGAAGAATTTTCATGATCTCTAAGTTCACAGTGTTCACAGGAGGCAACCTCTAGAACATTTCCCCCTCTAAATCATAAATTAGAAGATTTTACAGATGTCTGCATTATCCCTATGATTGGTTCTGTGAATTTCAAAGTAATGGAGGCAGGATTTCCTCTGAGGGCCTTTCCCCTTGGACTTGTTTCCTCTGTGGAGGAGTGGCTTTACTGAACAAAATCATTCATATTTATATAGATTTTACAGAAAATGACATCCCATTGATTGCAAAGGGTTTTTTTTTAATGATACATTTTTAAAAAGTAAAGTGCAAAACTGCACAGGAAATAATAGGAGCTATAAAGGGCAGTTTGGAGGAAAACCAAACTTGAGATTCTTAAAATTAGTGGGAATACCTGCCCAAATTCTGGGTCTACTGCAAGTCACCATAGAAATTACAGTATTTCAGTTTAAAGTGCGAGGATGGAACCTGTCAGTACAAAAGATGTGGTCAGATATTTATACATCCAGGCCAGCTATGGTAATCCCTCTCAAAAAGTGGCTACATACAATAATCTCTAAGAAAAAATGAGGCTGCTTTAAGTAATTGTCTAAATGTGCACTCTTAGGTGCTCGCATCTGAAATTGTAGTCAGAGGTTTGTCAGGGGATGCTTGGCTGCCCTCAGGTTGGGAAGGCATGCAGCTGGTGGCTGCCCCTCCACCAGCACCCAGTGAACCAGGCGTCCCTGATACGTGCAAGTATCTCCATCCACGGATACTTGGTTAATGCTTTAACCTCTTCTTGACATGTCACCTGTCCTCTCAAGTCACAGGACCTTTCTTCTCCCTCCCTTTCTGCAAACTGTTCCAGTTGTCAGTTGGCAGTAACAGCCATCAGTGTTGCACTGCTTGCTCAGCGCTGCAATTTCCTTTCGGCTCTCTCTTCGAGGAAGTGAAACCACTGTGATGTATTTTTACATTTTGAGGTGCCAGAGCAAAATGGAGCGCTGCAAGCAGGAGAGAAAGGTAGCTGAGAAGAGCTGCTGTTATGGCGAGGGAGAAAACCCCATATTCACTCTGTGATAGCTTCTGACAGTGTTTCAAAGCGCATGATAAATTAAAGTGTGCGATGGATTTACTGGAATAAATAAGCCACAGGCAAGTCTTCACCTTGGGTGTTTTGCTTCTCTTTCTGCTGTCGGCATTAACAACTGCAATTACTTTAGATGAACAAGTAAGTAATAATTTTGCTATTATTTAAGGAAGTATGTGTTTTTGTTCTGAAGGAGCTCTACAATGTTACTGCTTAAACTCAGGTTTATTTAAGCTGTGAAATACACTTTAAGTTTTTTTATCATTGGTAATGAGGAAAAATTCTGACTATAAAATACAAACAGTTAGCAAGTTCCTTTTTGGATGGACTGAAATACTGAAGTATGGAATTCACATATTTAGCAATTAAATTAGAACCTGTGTAACAGCACAGGGAGAATGAAGCTGACTCCTGGTGTATTTATGGCAAAGCAGATAGAAAGTAGGCCATGCTAGGTAGTTCCAAAACTTGGACGGATTTTAGAGAAATGCCATTAAGCGTTTAACAGCTTTTGTAAGGGAGCAATTCCTGTTTTGATTATGAAAGGTAACTGTGTTTTGAGCTCCATTTTGCCAAATGTAAAATTATGCAATATAAGGGTTTTTTTTTTGTTGAAAAATTGTAAAACTTTTAGGAAACTGCCTAGTTTTCATTTTCTTGAAAATGATACTTTGCAGGTTATTATATTAGAACCATACCTGAGTGGTTATGTGACTTTCTTGAGGCAGGTTATGTAGACTTAGAACTACAGAATTGTTCAGGTTGAAATTACCATGGAGCATTCCATACGATATAGTCACAATTTTATGAGAATGCGTACAGCATCCCGGGAAAGAATGCTTAAAAATATGGGTATTTTGTATATGTGGGATTTTCTCTGCAAATTTTTGGAAGATACATTGAAACAGTAACTGCTATTAGTGTGAACATCTGTATATTTGTGCAGAAAGTGAGCAATTAATAAGTAAGAAGACTAAGTAATAAAAGTTATTATAAATAAATTGATATTCCTAGTTTGGAAAGGGAAAAAAAGTTTTTAACCTGTAGATCTTTGTACAGCATTGGCTGTTGTGTTCTAGTATTTGACCACCCTTTGAGATACTTGAATTAGTTTTATTTTAATAGTAACAGTTGAAGTTTTACATTTAAAAACACAAAAAGTGAATCAAATATTTTTGGTTCAGAATGACTGCTTAGCATCTTCAGTGTCTTCCTGTATGTCTGTGGTTGAGAAGTGTGTCTGTCTTGTGATCTTGAGTGTTTTGCCCAAGATAGTTAACAAGGGATTCTTTGGTTTTTGAGTGTCCTTGTGTAGCAGAGATTTTAAAAAATGCACTCAAGCATTTCACACTTCAAAACAAAATACTGATATGCACTGAAAGTCTTAAGAAACAGAACCTCTTGAAAGTTTCTGGGATGACAAAAAAGAAGCTGGTTATTAAGTTTCTCAAAGATACTGTTGAGTTAAAAATACAGATTTGTGTTTCATGTCCTGAAGGACAAGTTTTTTCTATTTGCTGAAACCCCTGAGGCACCCTGCGTCTGAACACACCCAGCTGCCCACATACCAACAGTTAAGAGGAAACCTTTTCCAAATTCAGGGACTTACTGTCTGACATCTGCAGAGTTGATGTTTTCATTAAAAGAAAAAAAAAAAAAAGAAAGGAAATATTTCCAGTCCCTATGTTTGCTAAGCAAACCTTCCATATGTATAGTAAATGTAAACAGATGAAGCTTTCCTTCAGCCTGTCTGAGACTCCAGGAAAGCTGCAGCACAACGGCAGCCATCTCCTAGGCTGCTGAAACTGGAAATGTGAACTCACATGTGCTTTAGTGGAGAAGGTGCTGCAAAGGGAGTGTGCTGTAAATAATTGTTGTTGGCAACAGAATAAAGATTAACATTTCACGAGTCCAGTTTGTGAAGGAATGTTTGGGGTCTCTTAGGTATCTGAACAAAATTACAATCTAGTCATTGGGTATATTGGTGCAAGCAAGCATACTTTGGGAGGTGGAAATCTGTTCTAGTATCTACTTCATTGGTCACCAAATGATTTCTTTAAAAGGTTATGCTCTCAAGTATTATGACAATCCCTAGACAGCTAAATTCTGGCTTTTACTGCAGTAAGTATAGGACAAAGAAATGTTAATCTGTACTTGCTTTCCTGAAAACTAACTTCTTCAAATTGCACTCAGAGAATCTCAGGATTGTTTGCTGACAGAGGATTTTTGTGTTTGTTTTGTATTTCTGTATTTCTTGTCTATATAGATATCTAGATATGTATAAAATATATATATAAAATAATAATAGATGTGTGGATTCTGAATTCACTGATCATGTAAAAGACTAAGCAGGAAAAGGTTTACAACAGTAGATTCACTGAATTACTATCTCTAGTTGAGTAGTACCAGTTAATTGTCATGACATTTGGGGTATTCACAGTTTCAGATTTCATTATGAATGTGAGAATCAGATCAGACTTAATGACTCATCTGATTAAATAGGGTAGGTTTATTGCCTCCATTTGAAATTCCATCAATCCATGTATAGAGTGATCTTTTAAACCATTTCTGAGCAAGTTCATTTGGTATTTTCTCAAAAATAAAAGTCTAAAAGAATGTAAGCCTAAGAAGAGCAGAGTTTTAGGGATTTAAAAGATTGACTTTTCTGCAAGTAAATTGCATTATTTTTGTGGCAGTTAGTAAGTTTAACATGAATGGCTAAACATGGAAATATTCCTTAACTTGCTGACCAGAGAATGTCCATTTGGAAGTACTGACTGCATACTTTTGTTTTCCCCTAGTGGCCACGGATGTCTTCAACTCCAAAAGTCTGGCCATTCAGGCCCAGAAGAAGATCCTTGGAAAAATGGTGTCCAAATCAATAGCAACTACTTTGATCGATGACACAAGCAGTGATGTTTTAGATGAGCTTTACAGAGTAACAAAGGAATATACACAAAATAAAAAGGAAGCAGAGAAGATCATCAAAAACCTCATTAAAATAGTCCTCAAATTGGCAATTCTCTACAGGAACAACCAATTTAATCAGGATGAAATAGCGTTGATGGAGAAATTCAAGAAGAAGGTTCATCAGCTGGCTAAGACCGTGGTCAGTTTCCATCAGGTGGATTATACCTTTGACAGGAACTTTTTGTCCAAACTGTTAAATGATTGCAGAGAGCTACTTCATGAAATCATTCAGCGTCACCTAACTGCAAAATCACACGGACGTGTCAACAACGTGTTTGATCACTTCTCTGATTGTGAATTTTTGGCTGCCTTGTACAATCCCTTTGGACCTTATAAACTACATTTGCAGAAGCTTTGTGATGGGGTCAACAAAATGCTAGATGAGGGGAACATATAAGTACTTGTATTAGAGGTGACTGCCCATGAATTATTTGTAGATTGAACACTGTTGATTTATGAAGGAATAAGAGAGCATGTAAAGAGGGTTTTTTTACATTATGACAAGTAATTCCAAATATCTTTATTAATTGATTTCTTATTACGAGCTATCTGTTGCTATTCACAGTCCATCAAGAAGAAAGACTGTACAGGACTATTTTTACTGTGTTTTGCCTATGGAAACAGCTTGATAAAGACAAACAGAATGATCCAAGTAGAGTAAGAGTCTTGCAAGATAGATACACAAACCAAAACAATATGCTGTCAGACAATCGGCATCTTTCATAGATTTAAGAATTAATTCTAAACTATCAGAGCCCAGTAATGTTGGTAACAGACTATCATGGTGTTGGTACACTCTGTAATTTTTTTCACTTGTAAAATAAATGTATTTGATGTTTATTCTTCTATGCTCTCTGCACACATCACAGCTTCCTAGTGTTGCCGTTATGAAGCGCTGAGTTTTAAATAATATCAGTGATGCTGTTCACATAGAGTCCTAACAGCAGGCTTGTGCATCTCCAGCTCAGAGGTGAAAAGTTCCTGTCTGCAAAGAAGGATCTGCCAAGTATAGATCCTTATAGACCCGCACAGATGCTTGCTTACTTTGATTATATGGGGATTATTTGAGGAATAAGCTACAGTAAAATAGCCGAACTGGGGAAGAGTATTCCCTAGAAACCACCTGCATTACCTAATTTTAACTCTGCCTATGATAAGGTAATACAGAGTGACTTCTCTGCAATTCCTTGAGATATTTAGAATTCTGCGAGTAGAATCATAGAATCAATCATTTTGGGTTGGAAGGGTCACAATTCTTTTTGAAAAGGCTAGTCTGATGTGTATGATGATGTGAATTCACTAAGATTGATCATCCGAAAATAAATTCCAAGCCAATCTGCTTTCTGTACAATGTAACTAGAAACAGAAGTTAGTTTTATCGTTGTGTTATATACTATTTAACTAATGGAAAAATGGAATTTTGAATAATTTTTTTTCTTCTTTTCTCAATTCCTACCTTTTATCATTGTTCTTCTCCTTCATCTTCTCTCTGCCTTGACATTGGGGATAAAAAAATGTGACTTTCTAGACACTGTAATGTACTTTAGAGCATGAAGTTAATACATTTCAAACAGCTGAAGACTTTTTGTTAGGAAGCATATAAAGAATTTGCTGTTTATTTAATTGCCAGTGTTTTTGCTGTTTGCTGTGTCCTTTTGTTTTAATGAGTAAACCAAAGAATATTTGCACTCTGAACTTTTCTTGCCTTTTTTTTCCCTTGTTTCATTTTAAATTATAAATTTAAAATTAATTTATAAATTATAAAGAACAAACTTTGCCTATGCCATAAACAGAAACATCACAGCCTCTGACATATGGTTTTAGCATTACTTGTGATTTTTAAGAGAGAAAGTTAAGATTTATTTGTGTTTGTTTTGTCATTAGGTTCTGAATATTCCTAGAAATGTGACAGAGAAGTGTGTTCAAAATGTGAACTCATTTTATGGAATCCACTAGCATCCAGCAGAGAGAGAAGATTTATGTACTACTAGGCTGGAACAACAGGACAGTACACCAGAATTTGCCAAGAAATAGATTATTAGGTTGATATCTGAAGGAATATCATGCAAGATCCCTTCCACTGTTTTACTTAAACAGTAAATATGTTATACTGGTGTGTATCAGAAGTCATGTATAGGGATGCAACATCATGAGGAAAATTGTACAAATTGTAGAGTTTAGTTTCTGATCTGTTTATTTTATTTTCCCACCTAGAAAGAGAAAGCTGTTTGTTTTCTTTACCAGTTTTTCTCTCAGGGGTGAGAACAAAAAGGAACATGAGCTCTGTAAATTGAAACAGTTTTCCTTACAAATCCTATTTCTAAATCATGTTCTGATTCTCCGAAAATAACATAATTTATAATGAATTGTAAGAGTTACTGAAAGGAGAGGACAGTACCTTGTTTAGAACCAGGTGTAATATATGCATGTGCTGTGTAAACCACAGAAGATTTTCTTCAGCCATGACCTGGAATATTTTGATTGCTCAAATTTTAATTTTCTCTAGGATAAAAATTGCTGAAATGGTCTTTGTAGATTGTTAATGAACACCTACTTACATGTATATGAGCAGTGTATATTTTCAGTACACAGTACCTTCTTACTTAGCTCATTATCCGGCTATTTATTGTTAGAATAAGTGAAAATTGCTTATGAAGATTTGATTATAAGCATAAAAACTTGACAACTAGGAGAACTTTTATTTAGCTCGCAACTGAGTTACATTCTTCTGAGCTGCTGTAACAATGGTTCTTGTCTGGCATTCATTTTGAATTACAAAGTGACTTCTCTAATGATGAAAGAAATCAATTGTGTTGGGTTTCCAGCATTTACTGTTGTTAATAGAAGGACCTAGCACTCAAGCTGTATCCTTTTGCAGTTACTTAATTTCTACAGCAGCGTACATAACTTGTAGCTTTAATTATAAAATTTAAGAAATAAGTTGATAGCACTTTTCCCTGTAGCAAGGTATTGACCCTCCTACAGAAACTTGACATTGTCAGAATTTTAAAAAGGGTTAGAATGGTACTTTTTAATTACAGGTAGCATAGTGCCATCATTCTGTGCTGCGAAATTGATACAATACTGTGCTTTAATAGGGTAATAATGTGTTAAAATCCAGTTGTCATAGATTCATTTTACAATAAGCTTTTAAATCTCAGTACCTTAGGTGTTTCATATTTGTAATGTCCTTTCAATGCTTAGTTAATATGTCATGTCTAATGCCATTAAAATACATGCTGGTGAAGTTCTGGGAATTAAAACTCATTTTATAGCCCTCTAGAGGCACTGAAAAAGTGTTAAGTCAGACCTTGGGTATGTTTTGCAAGACATGAAGAAATGTAATCTCAGCCATACAAGGAAAAGAAGATATAGGGAGGTTATCATAGCCATTTTGTGTGGACCACCTTAGAAGGGATTCAGTAGAGCTTTTGGCCACCCCTTAATTATTTTTGTATGCACAAACAAAAAGACTCAGTTGGGTAAGTTACAAGCCTTATTCTTGTCCTTGAGCTCTCTTGAGATTTATCTCCTGTTTAGAAGGTACAGAGATTATAAGGAATCTGGGTGTACAGTGATACGTGTGGGTTTTTTTTTTTTTTTTTCCTAAAAGGAAAATACCAAACCATGTGTCTTCTAAGAAAAGACTCAACCCCACCCATTAAGCAAATTCCTGTAAAATAAAAGAGTGAGATGGCCAATTACTTTCTCATATCTCTCCCCAAGGAAATAAGGAACTGATTCTGATGGCAGTTGGCCTCAGTCACTTTCCAGCCCGATGTAGCTACAACAGATACAATGTGATTATTTAGAGGTAAACTGGACTTCCGCATGTAACTTTTCAAGGGATCAGACAATGCTTGTTTTTAGGGTCTAGCTGAGAGGAATTCATACCACTTCACAGTCAGAGGAGAGTGTTAAGGATAAATTGTACATTGTATGGGCTTGGATGATTTCTCTGTGATCATTATTGGCTGTCTGGTGACCTGCTACCATGGCTTTTCTTTGTCCTTGCATGCTTTTCCTGCCCTGTTGAGCACCTGAACTACTTACTCTTAAGACAGGTCAACTCCTCAACTCCTTCCCTACTGTTTTTACCATAACATCATAATACATTGTATATGCATCTAAGGAGAAAGTAGATAGGCTATGTTACCCACTTCACTTGATGAAAAAAACAAAACAAAACAAAACAACAAAAAAAACCAGTGGTAAACACCAGTTTCCTGGGGCTTTTTTGCAACATAATTTGATCTCTGAATAATCTACATCTTGATTTAGTTGTTAATATTGTTCTGGCTATAATCTATATCCTCATCAATGTAGTAAGCATTTAGCTATGATTTCTGTACATGTACTTCTGAGCCGCCTTTTTTTTTTTTTTTTTTTTTTTTTTTTTTTTTTTTTTTTTTTTTTTTTTTTTTTTTTTTTTTTTTTTTTTTTTTTTTTTTTTTTTTTTTTTTTTTTTTTTTTTTTTTTTTAAGTGCTTTTAAATGTATTACGGAGGGAATACTTCAGCAAGAACATGAAATAGATTCCTGTTTGCATAACCATTTGCAGAAAAACTTTGTTACAACTGTTTTTTATTGAGATTTGGGCAGGTCAGCCAACATTCATGGTGAAGTGGCAAACATCTGTGCTCTGGATAAAACAACTGTCAAAGGAAATCATATTTGTCCAGAAAAGTTCTGTAGTATCTTATTTTTGTGTTTTTCACATAAATGAAACTTCTTCTGGGAGAGGAAAGTGTCCTACTTATCTCAAAACCAAAATTGCTACTCAAAATGATACTGTGACTATTACTCAGAAAGTTTAAACTAAGTAATGTAGTTATTTCCAGTTTGTTACAAACAAAATGAAACAAAAAACTAAAATAAACCAAACAAACAATCAAAAAACCCCCCCTTGCCTTTGAAAGAAGTTCTGAAAAACTAATCCATTCTAAATTACTAATCTTTTCATACTGAATTTTGCATCCTGCAGTTGAAATTATATCACAGATTTGTAATTCATATCTGTAGCATTAGACAGGTTACCATGGGATTTATTTTCCATCTGTAAAAATAAAGGAGTAATATCTCCATACAAGCTATGTTGAAGAGCTTTCTCACTTACAGTAGTGCTCAGTCCGTATGACAAACCAACATTTCTTAGTGTTTGAACTACAAATTGCTGAAGTGACCTCACTTTTCTTAGTTTTATTATTTAGAGTTTTGTTTTCAATTTGAAATTTGATATTTGATACTTATGAGCAAAACTCTCCTGAATCAATACCCACTTTTTCTTGAAAGCTTGGGCACTGATATATATCTTCTAAGAATCTGTAAATTTCTAGTTGCTAGCAAGCACCAGTTTCTGGACAAATATCCCTTGCAGCATTTTTTTCTATTAGGAAGGAGATTGAAAAGAGGCAGCTTATATATACCTTTGGGATGTACCATAATTACACAGTTCAGGCAGTATAACGATTAAGAATAATGTAATTAAGGAGGTACTTTACCTTACCCAACTTTCCCAAGCAATCAAAACTTATTTGCTATTTGTTGTTCTCCCCTGTGGGAAAGTCTTGGTGTGGTAGGTGGAGGACAAAGGTGGAGCTTCCTACAGTTACTGTGATTTAGATATAAATTACCATCACATGTAAGATGTTCCACTACTCTAAAAATTGTAACACTAGGTTTTACAATCATACTTTCCATTGGCTTAATGACAAATTAATTCCTATTTCAGTTTGTATTAAATACTTGGGTTTAAAGTATGCTTTTATTATGCACTTAAATATGAGCTGAAACAAATTAGAAGCTGCCCTTGTGCATCATATTATGCTTCATTCATTTTTTTTTCCATTAGTTTTCTGTGTGCTGTAAAGAAGCTTCTTATTGGATATAATTCTGAAGGTTTTCATAAATTCAGATTGTACTATGAGAAAATTGTTGGCTTTTCACCCACTTGTTCTCCAGTTCCTGCTGGCACCTTTTCAGAGTGTCAGCCTACTGGTCTTTAAACATGGCAACATAAAGCTTCTAATTGGCAAGACATTTGTGGACCATTTTGAATTACATTTTTCAGAATTCATTTTTTGTGCATAGTTCTGGCCAAGCCACAGCTAATGGCGGGTGAAAAATATTGTTCCAGTTAAATTGTGTGATGGTTTTCTAATGCAGGAAGTATGGTGGTGTAGATGGAATAAATCAGTTCAATAGGGCCCATACATCACCAACCCTCCTCTTCTAGTGTGGGAATACAAATGCACCGGTTATACTCCTTTACAGAATAATGTTGAAAAATTACTTGGCTTTCTTGAGCAGGGTTTAGACGTCTTTTATTTGGGGAATCTGTTTCAGTAGCTGGGCTTGGCTTGGGTTCTGAGAAGAAAGTCCCATGGTTGTTGATAGCCAGCTGTTAATTAAAGGTTTGTGTGACATGAAAGAACAGCCTTTCCCCATTCCCGAAGCACTTAGCTGATGCTTTCAGCCTACTTCACTGACCAGACTTGAGATACTATGGTTTTTTGCTTTGTTTGGGGTTCAGTTTTGTTTTTGTAAGGAGTCATGACCTAGAACTATGTATTATCTGCTAGGCCTGCTAAGAGAATGCAGAAATAAAAGAGTCTGAGACTGTCTGGTTAATTATCCCCAGAGGCTTTGAGCCAGAGGGCGAGTAAGTGCACTGGTCCCAGGACACGACATGAGATCAGCTG